CCTCGAGGTCTAACCTCCGGATGCACTGACGATTTAGTTGGACCGAATATCCTTTCAAAAGAGACTAATGAGAAGATCAACAAAGTTGATTTAGATACTGAGCTCGATGGACTGAAGTCTATTAGCGAAAGTCAGAATAGAGTAGTTCAAGTAGACTGGGCAGGTGCCAGTGTTTTCTCTGGCTATCCCTGCATTATTCTTCTTCTTTCATGGCTTTTGGAGCACTTGGAGCCATACTCAGGTGAGCTCGGGTTTTCTTATTTTATTCGAAGCATTGATATTTATCCTTCTTAATCTTTCGATTGTAGAGAGCTTGTGTTCGACCTTTAAAACCGAAATTTTATCATATGCATTTGCCTCTTAGCGGTTTATCTTTCTCTATATCTTTCTTTGTTATTTATTTTTCCTTATCATATTGCTTATCTTTCGGTTTTTATTATTTATCAGACTCCCCTATTCCGAGTCCAGCTCTTAGACCTCCTCTTCCATTAAACCTGATCAACTTGATCAACCAATTGCTGTGCTCCCAGTTGAAGATCGATTTACCTCCTCTTGATTCCGAATCTAAAATACTTCCTTCGCAGTTACATCCACGTCAAAATACATTGGGACCAGGAGCCTCCTCTTCCAAAGCTCAGGAAGATCAGACTTTTTCGATTGGAGTCGAAGATGATCGGTACATAACGACGAACTGGTTAGGCGATTCGAACAAAGCTCAGAAAGCCAAATTCATATCTACTGCGGTACATCAGCAGTCATTCGTATGCCTGCCCGAGGCCTATATTCTCATGGTAGGTAATTGGACAGTTTATTTGGAGACAATCATTAGATCTTGAATAATATCTTACATAACCCTCGGTCGCCTATGGTGATGTAGTGATTGATAGTTTAATTTAGCGAAATGAAATGAGTATGTCTCACGAATTTATTGAGATTCACTTAGCTTTTCCTCCCACAAGATTTCCTAATCCAGTTTCTACCTAGCTCAGTCCCCAAGAGAAAGCTGCTCATTTCATCCTGGTAAATTTAACTATAATTTCTTTGTCTAGAAGTTGTTTGACCTTGTTCTAGCAACTTGTTCATATTGGTAGGAAAAACGCACCTAGTCCAGAGTCCATTGTATGCATGATTATTTCCAAATTCGAACCGTTGACGTGGTACATTCTCAGACGTTTCGCCGGCATCGTCAGTGAGTCCTGCCACTCTTAGCACCATACTACAACTCGTCAAAAAGACAAATGAAGCCGATCCTTTGACCAAACATGAGCTAAATAGTTGTGGTATCTCTCATTATGCTCTAGACTATTCACATTTCCTATATCCTCCTATCACGCCTTCACTGTTAAAAAATTTTTTATACCATGCTTATTTAGATGTACTGTGGTGTGCCCTTTTGAGCGGCATTCACGAGAACCCTCCGCACTCTACGCTGGCGTTCTCTCACCCCTTCACCCTAGTGCTGCAAATGTTGATCAGAGTCTGCCATATTGTTACGTAGTCCTTCCCTAGGTTTTATCAGAGCTTCCTTGCTCCGTAGAATCCGTCTGCTATCGCTCTGGTTCAAGTATTTCACTTGACCTCTGCCACCCATCTGTGCTACTTGAGGCGTTATTTCCCACACTGCGTCGGAGTGACTAATTCGAGGCTAAGGCCTCTGAGTAATTCTCATGGTCTATCCTGTTTCTATCCGTAATACCAAGTCTAACACTTCCTATGCCCTAGTCTCTTATGTGCCAACCCACAAATCTTGTGGTACAGCTTGCTTTGATTAGGTTCAATATTGAAGCACAAAGTTTTGGGTTGGCTTGCCTTGACACTTTAACAAACAAGGCTACGTGGTAAAGTCAAAAGGTTCAAAATCTTTACGCACACGACTATATTTCAGCTACATCATGGGAACTAGGTGTGATTGAAAGCGCAGTCCCTTATTGCGGGAAACTCAATTATCAACTTCACCTTAAGCGACCTTTGATGACTAGAGTACTTATTTCATATTCCTTTCTGTTCACAGGTTGGCCTACCTAATTGCACTACGCGTCTACTTTGGCTGTGATATCTGGTCATTACCACTAATGTTCAGAGACTTGCTATAGCCCTAATTTAAAAAAAAAACTACGTATTACAAATAAAGTCTTCGTGCTATGCTATCGCTAGTTTCTCAAAAGCTTTATAATTTCATAAATGTGTCCTTATTAGCTAGCCACCCTAATTTCAATAATAAATCTAAAATTTCGATTGAACAGATATTTTAAAGGCATTAATTAGTTAGCTAGAGTGAATCCCTGGCTTTATTCCAAAATGTCCCAGGAATAATTATTTTTTTACCTGATCCTTTGGATAGCTCATTTATTTAGTGGCATTATATGTAAGCATAGTATTGATTTATTGAAAATTAAAAAAATTGGATAGAAAAACTTATGGGACTATTATTGAATATGAAAATCAATCTTTGGCCTACAAGTATGCCTATCCCGACAACATTTTGAGTAATAAACGTAGTTCGCAAATCAAGTTTAACTGTAGTTCGACTTTATTTTAAAAAAAGTTAAATGTTATATAACAATCATCTCTTAATATATAAGAAAATTAATTATTAAGTAAAATGAATTTGTCTT